ACTACTACTACTACTACTACTACTACTACTACTACTACTACTACTACTACTACTACTACTACTACTACTACTACTACTACTACTACTACTACTACTACTACTACTACTACTACTACTACTACTACTACTACTACTACTACTACTACTACTACTACTACTACTACTACTACTACTACTACTACTACTACTACTACTACTACTACTACTACTACTACTACTACTACTACTACTACTACTACTACTACTACTACTACTACTACTACTACTACTACTACTACTACTACTACTACTACTACTACTACTACTACTACTACTACTACTACTACTACTACTACTACTACTACTACTACTACTACTACTACTACTACTACTACTACTACTACTACTACTACTACTACTACTACTACTACTACTACTACTACTACTACTACTACTACTACTACTACTACTACTACTACTACTACTACTACTACTACTACTACTACTACTACTACTACTACTACTACTACTACTACTACTACTACTACTACTACTACTACTACTACTACTACTACTACTACTACTACTACTACTACTACTACTACTACTACTACTACTACTACTACTACTACTACTACTACTACTACTACTACTACTACTACTACTACTACTACTACTACTACTACTACTACTACTACTACTACTACTACTACTACTACTACTACTACTACTACTACTACTACTACTACTACTACTACTACTACTACTACTACTACTACTACTACTACTACTACTACTACTACTACTACTACTACTACTACTACTACTACTACTACTACTACTACTACTACTACTACTACTACTACTACTACTACTACTACTACTACTACTACTACTACTACTACTACTACTACTACTACTACTACTACTACTACTACTACTACTACTACTACTACTACTACTACTACTACTACTACTACTACTACTACTACTACTACTACTACTACTACTACTACTACTACTACTACTACTACTACTACTACTACTACTACTACTACTACTACTCCTTTTTTGTTTTATTTTTTTATTTTTAATGGCTTTCTCTTCTTCCTCGGATGGTTTACAATTTGTATCACAATTATTTGTGGGTTCAGCAATAAAGGATGTGACTACTACTACTACTACTACTACTACTACTACTACTACTACTACTACTACTACTACTACTACTACTACTACTACTACTACTACTACTACTACTACTACTACTACTACTACTACTACTACTACTACTACTACTACTACTACTACTACTACTACTACTACTACTACTACTACTACTACTACTACTACTACTACTACTACTACTACTACTACTACTACTACTACTACTACTACTACTACTACTACTACTACTACTACTACTACTACTACTACTACTACTACTACTACTACTACTACTACTACTACTACTACTACTACTACTACTACTACTACTACTACTACTACTACTACTACTACTACTACTACTACTACTACTACTACTACTACTACTACTACTACTACTACTACTACTACTACTACTACTACTACTACTACTACTACTACTACTACTACTACTACTACTACTACTACTACTACTACTACTACTACTACTACTACTACTACTACTACTACTACTACTACTACTACTACTACTACTACTACTACTACTACTACTACTACTACTACTACTACTACTACTACTACTACTACTACTACTACTACTACTACTACTACTACTACTACTACTACTACTACTACTACTACTACTACTACCACTACCACTACCACTACCACTACCACTACCACTACCACTACCACTACCACTACCACTACCACTACCACTACCACTACCACTACCACTACCACTACCACTACCACTACCACTACCACTACCACTACCACTACCACTACCACTACCACTACCACTACCACTACCACTACCACTACCACTACCACTACCACTACCACTACCACTACCACTACCACTACCACTACCACTACCACTACCACTACCACTACCACTACCACTACCACTACCACTACCACTACCACTACCACTACCACTACCACTACCACTACCACTACCACTACCACTACCACTACCACTACCACTACCACTACCACTACCACTACCACTACCACTACCACTACCACTACCACTACCACTACCACTACCACTACCACTACCACTACCACTACCACTACCACTATTACTACCACTACCACTACCACTACCACTACCACTACCACTACCACTACCACTACCACTACTACTACAACTACTACAACTACTACTACTACTACTACTACTACTACTACTACTACTACTACTACTACTACTACTACTACTACTACTACTACTATTACTACTTTTTTTTTTTTTTTTTTACGGGCAAAATAAACACAATGAATATTTTTTCCCAAGTGTTCCAAAAACTTCAACTCAAAGTTCTAGAAAGAAAAGAAAAAAACGAAAAAACACGCAAAAAAAAACAGCATAATAATGTATACCTACTTAGGTAAACAGCAGCAAGTTCAACTTCAAGTCAATATTCCAGTCACTGTTACCGCTCGTGCACACTAAGCCGGTACCCGGGCCTCCACCACTGCCAGTGCAGCAGAGGTATCACCCACAGCCAAGGCAGGCTGGCTAGAGAGCCTTCTGCACCCACGGAGGCACATGATGCAGGACCGCAAGAGGGAAAAAGCGATCCTGCACCTGACGAAAGCCATCACATGAGAATACTGCTCCCCTCTTTTCGCCGCCAACAGAGAGGCCACTCGTTTGTAGAGGGCCGTTGCTGCCTTGCCCATGCCTCCACTCGCAGACATCACAGCCGGAACAAAAGTGGCATGCTCCACTTGTCTCACTCTCTCTTCGTAGTGCCTTCGTTTCTCTCTTTCATGTCGATGATACACAGTGGTACGTGGTGCACTACTACTACTACTACTACTACTACTACTACTACTACTACTACTACTACTACTACTACTACTACTACTACTACTACTACTACTACTACTACTACTACTACTACTACTACTACTACTACTACTACTACTACTACTACTACTACTACTACTACTACTACTACTACTACTACTACTACTACTACTACTACTACTACTACTACTACTACTACTACTACTACTACTACTACTACTACTACTACTACTACTACTACTACTACTACTACTACTACTACTACTACTACTACTACTACTACTACTACTACTACTACTACTACTACTACTACTACTACTACTACTACTACTACTACTACTACTACTACTACTACTACTACTACTACTACTACTACTACTACTACTACTACTACTACTACTACTACTACTACTACTACTACTACTACTACTACTACTACTACTACTACTACTACTACTACTACTACTACTACTACTACTACTACTACTACTACTACTACTACTACTACTACTACTACTACTACTACTACTACTACTACTACTACTACTACTACTACTACTACTACTACTACTACTACTACTACTACTACTACTACTACTACTACTACTACTACTACTACTACTACTACTACTACTACTACTACTACTACTACTACTACTACTACTACTACTACTACTACTACTACTACTACTACTACTACTACTACTACTACTACTACTACTACTACTACTACTACTACTACTACTACTACTACTACTACTACTACTACTACTACTACTACTACTACTACTACTACTACTACTACTACTACTACTACTACTACTACTACTACTACTACTACTACTACTACTACTACTACTACTACTACTACTACTACTACTACTACTACTACTACTACTACTACTACTACTACTACTACTACTACTACTACTACTACTACTACTACTACTACTACTACTACTACTACTACTACTACTACTACTACTACTACTACTACTACTACTACTACTACTACTACTACTACTACTACTACTACTACTACTACTACTACTACTACTACTACTACTACTACTACTACTACTACTACTACTACTACTACTACTACTACTACTACTACTACTACTACTACTACTACTACTACTACTACTACTACTACTACTACTACTACTACTACTACTACTACTACTACTACTACTACTACTACTACTACTACTCCTACTCCTACTCCTACTCCTACTGCTACTGCTACTGCTACTGCTACTGCTACTGCTACTGCTACTGCTACTGCTACTGCTACTGCTACTGCTACTGCTACTGCTACTGCTACTGCTACTGCTACTGCTACTGCTACTGCTACTGCTACTGCTACTGCTACTGCTACTGCTACTGCTACTGCTACTACAACTCCTACAACTACTACAACTACTACTACAACTACTAAAAAGTGGCTTAGCGTGTTGCCAACAAATCGAGAAAATAAAGAAAACGTCACTGTTGGCAACATTCTACTCCAGCGCGACCGTGAAAATGCTTCACTTTCAAGTTTGCTGCGAACCACAGTCAGTTGGGAACTCTTGGCCTGGCATGAGGGAAGCATGTATGCAACCAGTGGGATTTTAGGTTTTTTCCACTGTGGGGTGGGTCTGATCTACTCACCACCCATCGCTTCAGGAGCTGCATCTGGGCCTTGATTCATAGAGGATAGTGGCACTCGTACGGATGTGGAAATCGCGGGCCCCCAGCCGAGTCTCACGCCAACTGTAAATGTTTCATTGAAGTGCAGAGTGTTTCATGTTTGGAGAGAATCCTAACCAGATATGACAAAATGTACAAGACTGAGGTTGGACATGATGTTGGTTGTTCCAATGAGGAACACATACTTGTTGCCGACCTTGACACTTGACTGACTCACGACAGCCATTAGGAGTTTATGAGGAATGACTAATACAGCCGAAGTCGTAACATCTAAGGCCGAGATTGGATTGGGATAATTTACTTTCTTGTTCTTCTTCTCTGTTGACCTTATGTCTAGCTCTCAAATGCCGGGTACCAGTTATACAAAATGGTATGAGTAATGCTTCACTCGTTCAATATGGCGCTACTGTACAGTTTACATGTGATCATACATACTTTCTGTGGGGGAATCCATCAGCTACATGCAACGGCAATGATACATTGAGCTCAGTGCCGATATGCTATAGTAAGTGTAAATTACTTTCTTTTCCAAGCACTGGAAAACCTGGTGTAAGCGACCTCTTGGTTTAGCGACCATGTGCTCTTCACAACCGCTTTTCCATGCACCAACAGTTCTACACAGACGCTGTGGGACCTGGTTCTAAAGACCACCTGGCTTCAATGACCGGTTTTGTTTGCACCATGGGGTGGTCATTTAAACCAGGTTTTACTTCAAAGCTAGCTAATACATGAGCTGCGATCAGATTAAACCAACCAGTAGCTTTTGCCCAAAAGTAGAGCAATCCTGTTTTGTAGAGTTGCGCCGAACTGGTCGTTTTCAAAGAAGAAAGGAGAGAGATGCTTGCTGATTCGAGTGTCTCGTGTAATCCCAATGCGGCTCAACATCAGGTCCAGATCATGTGGCCTTGAGGTTTGGTACTTCGCCTCAAGAAGGCTCCAACATCCGATGCTGTGCGCGCCGTGTGGCACTCTGCTTTTCGTCAGGCGCACAAAAAGAAAGCGTGAAGCTTTTTAAAATTGTGAAGGGGGGAGGCTGTTGGGTGGAGTTGGTATGAAAATGTCCGTTATTGTAACAAGCGCTGAATTGGCCCCGTTAACCCTGAGTGTACCAGCACAGAACGAATGTGTGAGACGATAGCGCATGCCTGGTGTCACGGTGTGAAAGCCCAACGCACTTTTAAGTCATGTGCAAAGCAAAAGGAATTGATCCTGTATGCCTGTGCCTTTCACAATCAGCAGAAACACTGATATTGACTAAAATTGTTGAAATTGAATATTAATTTTACTGCATGACTGGACTGATGTCATCATGTACTATGGCACTGCTGGTTTACTTGCATTTTAGCTGTTTGGCCGGAATGGATACTGCTCTGCGGACTTTGGTGAACTTTACCTGCGCTCGTGGTACAGCGGAAAAGGAACATACATACATGTGTATATTGTACCCGGTTTGAAAGTCGAGAGACGACTTTCGTGACTTGGAAAAGGAATAGAGAGCTTCAAAGTCCGTCTCTAGCTGATTTTCCGAGTGCTCCTGGTGTATTTTGATGGTAATAGAAACTTGTCAGACCAAAGTCAACGCGGCGTTAGGCGTACAGTTTTCTTGTGGATGTTTTTAGTTGTTTCATTTCGTATTTATGCCAGTGTTGTGATGGTAAAGTGGAGAGGATGACTCTCTTCCTCTAGACTTCATTCGGCCACCTTTGCTTCGTTCTCAGTGAAAAGACACGCTGGAAAGGTCGATTTACAAAAGTATGTTGATTTTCAATGTACCTGATGACATTCCATTATTAACTGTGTTAGTTTAGATGTGAATTGACTAACCCCGAAGCCCCCCCCCCCCTCCCTCAATCCACTGAATTCACATACATGTATGATCGCACGTGTGATCAGCCATGCCCCCCCCCCCCCACACACACAGACGCACACCCAGGTGGTTTTTGCAGGATCCTTGCACACATGGTTTTTGTTCTCATGGTCTGTGTTTGTACCTGATCTCTTTTTTATGACTGAAGGGCTGACCGGCATAAGAATTTGCAGGCCTCCAAACATTATCACACGGATAACTGAGAGGCTATTCAATTACACTTCAGCACAAGCACTGTGTAGCAGTCACAATGGCACAATTCTCTCTGACGCGTCGTTCCACGATGGGTGCTCAATTGGCTTGACAAACCATAACAGAAAGGCGTGGAGAGGATTACCTCTCAAGAATAACAAGGCGTGGACTACAAATGGTATTCAAATAGTAGACCTGTCCTTCCGTTTACGCGTAGTGTGCGAGATACGTAAGTCTATCTTCATTCAGTTTAGAAGAGAGACTTCTTTCTTTACACATACAAGCTCATAGAAGAGCTGATAACGTGGTTATAAAACCCTTTACGAGCCGTAAATAGGATAAATGCATTGCATTTGAGGCATTGGATTGTGACAGAGTTGGAGAACGGCAACTGGCGGAGCAGAAACCTCAACATCAGGAAACACCATCACCCGAATCATCGCGTCCACGCACACCGAACAAAAGAAAAGAGAGCACGAAGTCGAAATGCAGGAGCCGGGCTTCCTTTGCTTCCTGTTGTTGTTGTTGTTTCAAATCTTTATTCTCACGATGGCCTGTGGCCAATAAAAGATAATAATTATAGTAAGATTAGTATCATGGCTAGCAGTGATCAAACTAGATGTACAGGTGAGCGTTGCTCGTGCACGAGCAGATTGATTTGAGCAACATGGTTGATATATTTTGCTTAAACAAAGCTGGTGATTGAATTTCGCGTAACGTTGATGAGAGGCCATGGAAATAATGGAGAGATTTGTACAGAGGGGAACCCAGGCAGTGGTCGGTTCTTGCAGTTGGCAAATGGCAAGTGCGAGTGTACCGAAAGCTAAAGCCTGTATTGGCACGATTTGGGGTTGCAAGCATTAGAGAATGAGTCGGGCGAAATTGTGGTGGATGGAGTGAGAAAACGCTATGTGAGCGCATTCCCTCCCTGGAGGAACATGATTGTAAAATGCTCGTGCTGAAACTTCATGCCCATTCCCTCGCAATGTATAGTTGGAATATATCGTCCTCCTAGGCATCCAGTGCTCATGTTCACCCAATGCTTAGAACGCCTGCTCATGATAGAAACTGTATTTTAGCTGGAGATTTCAATGCACGTCATTCCCAAAGGACACCTTCAGACCCTAACGATACAGCCGGACACCGAGCCCTTCTCACACTCTTTACCACCTACGACCTCTGTGTAGTAAATACTGAACATGGTACAAGGCCCACACCAACCTCGAATTCACTCCTTGACCTGACTGTAACCAATCGGCGAGACCTCCCATCCACATCTAAGATTCTCTCACCTGTTGCTGATCACTGTCTGGTCATCACGTCCATCTCTCTGTACCCACATCACGTGAGCTAGTCACCAGTAGTAAGGAAAGCAAGTGGATCCGGGATATGCGGTGCATTAACCACTCCTTGTTCACCACACTTCTTCTGAGATATCCTCCACTTGAAAGAATCCAGGGTGATGTGCATATCGACTACGTTTGGACTGTTTGGTACAACCATGTTATGGCTCTGTTCGACAAGTGCATGATATGGCGGCTCATTACTACAGGGCACAGGAACAAAAAACCCTGGAACAATGCCCATCTACAGAAGCTGAAATCAAGGCAGAATAGACTATATCGACAGTTTCTGAAATATCCCCAAGAGGATCAATTGCTCTTGCTGACACATCAAATGGCTGAGTGCAATGACTAGAAGCTGAAGTTAGACGGTGTTTTTCCTCGACTTTAAGAAACCTTTTGATCGTGTGGATCATCAAGCATTGCAAAATGCATTAAAGAAATTGCTGATAGGCCAGAAGTCGCCTGGCTCCAAAGCTTCTTATCTTAGCGGAAGCTGTCTGTAAGGTTGGAAGGACAGTATTCCTAAGCCAAGGTCCTCACCCGTGGAGTTCCGCAGGGATCGCATCTTGCGCCAATCATCTTCTTATTATTTGTTAATTCCCTGCCCTCATTAATCACCTACTGCACCCCATGCTTCTTTGCTGACGATGTCACCCTCCTGTATGTACATGATAACAAGAATTCCCTGCAGTGGACTCAATCTCATGTAGGGAGCGACATTTATGCCTACCAGCTATAGGCCAGCAACGTTGGTGGAGAGTTCTCACCAGCCAAAACGACTCAGATCCGTAACTACAGTAACGACCACCCTATCCGGCTCGCTTCCCAACCTATCACCATCGTTGAAGCTGCGAAGCATCTTGGAGTGTATTTAACACCCGACCAGTCCAACACCATCCACCTTCAGACCATCCTGAAAACCTCCCAACGTCGTGTTAATCTGCTATGCTTCATGGGACCGCATCTTGCCTCCACAGCCTTTCTACTTCTATATAAAGGTTTTGTCCGACCCGCCCTGGAACACGCCACCTCGGCCTGGACCTGTGCCATCACCAAAGCTGAGCTGGAGCGTTTAAATATTTTACAAGCCAAAGTAGCTAGGAAGTATTTGCTACGTAAAAAAGTCAGTGTAGATTGATGCGAAAAGAAATCCCAGTTAAAAACCCTTTGTGACTTAGAGTCGTTGCACTTTCGCAGACAAATATCAGCTCTTGTTACTCTATTTAACCTGACACATATATCTCCCGGACATCTTCAACATTTTCACCTTTCACTGTCTTCAAGTCCAAGAAGATCAAACAAACAAAAAACAAAACAAAATTCATGGTTCGCGTGAGACTCGGTTTCTCTATATAGAGGCCAAGTTTTCCGCATCCGTAGGAACGCCACCACCCTTCAAGGAACAAGGCGCAGATGCAGCTCCTAAAGCGGTGGGAGGTGAGTAGATCAGCACACCAGCATGTGGTCAAAGACCGAAAATCCCATTCACTGCATCCATGTTTTCCTAGTGCCAGGCCACGAGTTCCCAATTAACTGTGGGTCGCAGCTTGGCTGGGAAAAATCCTTCCGCTTCCAAGCAGGACTTGAACCTGGTACCCTCTGTTTCTCAATCATGGTCTTAGACCATCTCACTATGCGCGCAACAAACTTAACATCAATTATCACGATGTTCATTTTTCTTCCCTCTTTTCCAACAAAGCCGCAATCCTATGGAATTGCCTACCGCCTTCTTTTACCTCTATCACCAGCCTCCTGAATTCCAGTATTCTCCCTATCAGCATTTTCGCCGATACATTCATTCCACTGACGGTATCCCAACTCCTTACTTACCAGTTGTTGTATGCCTAGATCTATTTCCTTAGCCTATCCTTGATTAACTGCTCCCTCTACATAAAGTTGTCATTTCATTCTTCTTGCAGGAGATCCCCTCGACAGGCGCAAAGCCTTTGGAAAATCCTTAAAATATAAATAATACAAAATACAAATAATTAATATATATGGTCTTGATGAACTGTTAGTCATAACTCGTAACATAGTATTATTTCTTTTCTCTTAAAACGATTGGATCAATGACCTACTTCTATTGTCTGCCCATATTTTTAGCCTGCCTTCCTCGACAAAATGATCAAATGGAGTCTAAAACAATGGCTGATGATATCTCTTGTCGATATGATGGTAAGCACTGTGAAGCAGAACCAGTGTGCGGAAGCACACAAAGGCAAGCAAACATATTCAGGGGTTGGATTCTTGATAATCACTAGGATCTTTACAAATACCCAAACTGATTTTAAATCAGTATAATTATATTGCTCCTCGAGGAGCCGAGGAGCTTGATTTTAAGGTAGCTCGGGCCGTTATCGCGAAAAATATCGGCGGTCAAAACCACTTTCTGTCCGATTTTTGTCCAAAGTTTCAAGCATCATGAGGGCAAGCTGTTACTCCCAAAATTTCGCTAGTGTGCAAGCCACGTTATTATGTCAGGAAATAATAACTTTTGCAAACAGGAAATCGCTTTTCATTTGTTTCAATTTGGCAGGCTTGCACATGTACTAAACTATGATATAAGTACATTTCAATTCTTTCTTTGGAATTCAGGACCACTAGTATCACACATTGTTTAGGCAAATCCACTGGAATCAATTACGAGAGATGATCATTTCTTCGCATATTTCTGTAAACAGTGGGTAAACGAGTCCAATGAGCTAACATCATTTTGACATAACTGCATGATACTGATGTAGTGCGATGCAACTAGCAAGAAAATTTCAATCATTTTCGGGCCAACTTTGCAAAATTTAAATTTCAAAGCATTCTGGGCACCGTATCGTATCGGGGTTCAGAATACCAGTTTCATCTCCAAACGCAGAAGCCTGTACTTTCAGCCAGTGTATCTTTTGGCATATAAAGCTACTCTGACATGCTCTGATACTATGGGAATTACTAACATGATTACATGAAGCAACAGATGGAAGTTGGAAGCATTTTATTGTCCTCAATGCACACCTGTCTCTTTCTTAGAGAACGCCTTGTTCGGGCTATTTCGAAGGGCCATAACCCCTCCAAAGTGCCCCATTACGTACCCTAATACCTGTACAGTCGTCCCTCTCTAATCCGGCACTTGTTTATCCGGAACCCTTGCCAACCGGCGCACTTTCTGACGAAACCGATTTTTTTCGTTCAATTCCTGCATCTTTTAAAATCCGGCACTTGAATTCTGACTCTGGCAGTGACTTTTTGAAACGAATCGCTCAAACTGCACGTAGTTTGATTTCATAATCCGGCAGTCGTAAATCGCGTACCGTACAGGTGCTTTCCTTGCCAGGCCAGGCTAGGCCGGTCTGGTCAGTGCCGCGCGTGCGCGGGGCAACTTCAGAGTACAGTTCAGTTGACAACTGTACTCGACCTCGCACGGGAAAGTTCAGTTCGGTTGGTTGTTAGGACTTTTCCGAACCCTAACTCAATTTATACAAAGAGAAGGACCAAGGAACTACAAGTTACACTATAATGTCCACTAACATCACCAGTTACTAAACAATCAGCTTATGCGATAACATTGCACGACACTGACCGACGGTACTGACGTTCTACAACTAACTACAACGTTCGACCTGCATGATGTCGACTGCTTGCGTGGCCTTCTCAAGAGGGTCAATGTTGTCCAGGAGACAACGGCTAAGCAGTCAACCATACTTTCTTATTCTAGCAAGGAGTAGTGTCCTGCCAATTTTCAGGTGTGTGTGTGTGTGCGTGTGTGTGCAAGAGTACATGTGAACATGTTCTCTGTTTTACTTTATCACTTTATCACTCTGTATATTCCTCGAGAAAAGTTGAGAATATAAAGCTGTGCACCAAATACTTGGGTCGACACGGAAAAACTCTGCGTTTTGACGTATGATACATGCATGCAATTGGGTAGGGCCGGGTCAGAGGGCAGGATTTCTTAACCCATCACCCTCGTCAATCCAGCAGAAAACGCCGTAGCAAAAGGTGCCGGATTAGAGAGGGACGACTGTATTGATTTTCTCATTCTGGACACTCATAGCATTGCAAAAAAAAGGTGTCAAACTGGTGAATTTTCGGAAAAAGTATTTCGGCATGAGCCACCTTAAAAACTTCTCTTTGCTTTTCGTTTTCACACTCCGGGAACCACTCGTCTTCCTTGTCAATGGTATCTTCCAGCATAGTCTAGGAGCCAAGTCAGCAAAAGTCCAAGGAATAAGAAGTTAGTGTGACACCCTGTCCAGGAAGGATTTTTTGATGGATTTGGAATGGCATAACAACCAGCAAATGACACCTGAAAACCAGAATGTGCCAAAGTTGTCCGTTCAAGAGTTATGACATGCAATATGGGTCAAATAGATAATAAATGGCTGTCAAAGTCATAAGTGAAGATAGAAGTTCCCAAAACTGCCTTCAAAATAAGTGAAGATAGAAGTTCCTGAGGAGTCTTGTTGGGATGTCGTCAAACCCAGGGGATTTGCAAGGATTAAGGGCTCCTAGGAGCTGTTCTACCTCGGCGGGTGTGGTTGTGCTTTGGGCAAGCTCTCTCTCGCCGGATGTTGGTAGAAGGATGTCGGGGACTGGCTCGTTGTCAACTGAGACGGACTTCTTGCTTTCTGAAATGAAGAAGCTGTTGAATGCTTCTGCCTGATCTAAGTTCGATGTGAGCTTCCTGAGCTTCCTGCCATCATGGTTCAAAGCTGGCATTTCCTTTCTTGGTGAAATTCGAAGGGTCTTCATAAGTTTGTAGAGGTTTGGGCGGTTTGTATGGGTTTGGTCACATTGGTTGTCGGCATTGGCTGGTTTATGACCGAATTTGGACTTGGCACTGCGGAGAAGAGTTGTTGTCTTGTTTCGCCAAGTTGTGAACTGGTCCCAGTCTTCAGCCGTCCGTGTCCGGACGTATTTCCTGTTTAACCTGTGCTTTGTACGGATATTATTTAGCAGATCAGGCGTCATCCATGGGCGTTTTGGAGACACTGCAGATGATCTAGTCAACCGGAGTTGAGTGCAGAACTGGTGTGCGGTGCGAAGTAGAGTGTCACGCCAGAGCGACCACAGTTCGGTCAGCGAATATGACGGCAAGTCAATGTCGGGTGGCAGCAGTTGAGTATACGCTAGCGCTTCTCTCAGGGCGCCAACGTTCTCTGAACTCCAGTTCCAGGTCCAAGGTGGCAGGTGTAATGGGTAGCCGAGTGGTAGGCGCGGTGTAATCAACAACAGTTCATTTTATTCTTCTCTTCTCTCAGGCACACACCTGGGATATAATTATTAGTGAAAGAAGAAGCGGCAAAATAACTGACTTTCTCTCCGGTGCACACCTGGAGGTTGAATAGCTCGTTTTTATCAAAATCTCATCTTCATCAAAACAGAAATGCGCAGCCGCTTTTATGCAGCAGACGACGTACGCTTACATACGGAGATACACTAAATATACATCAGGCAAAGCTCCGTATAAGTTCCGTACTACTTCCGTATTGGTCGGGCAGGGATACTACACCCTCCCTTCCTACAGATAATCACGCCCTCGTGATTTTCAAAAAATTAGTGAAGATTTATGAACACAGCGTCAACCGGAAGATGGCAAATTATATCGGAAATGATAACGTTTAGAGTAGACAGAAGAAATGAACTGAATGCATGTAGGGCGATAGTGTGGGTTCGAATCCCAGGTAATGCCTGAAAAAATAGGAAAATTGAAAAATTTATAACATCCCTATTCTTTTTTTGCCATCATCAAGGCGGTAGATGGTGTCGTATTACCCTCGACCGCACCTGTCCCGTTCCTGTTCCTTACCGTACCGTACAATCAAAGACGGCTGGCCACAATGCATATTCAAATAGGGCTTTCAAATACAAGATCATAATGTGAAGCAATTTGGAAGAATTAGTATTTATGCGAAGTGTACCGGGGTTCCGGGGATGCATGCAGGGCGATAGTGCGGGTTCGAATCCCAGGTTATGTCTAAAAACAAAAAGTAGAAATTTATAAGAATTTATAACATCCCTATGCTTTTTTTGTCTAGGTCATCAAGGCAAAAAAGCATGACGTAGGGCCCTGAGCTTCCAAGCTCTCTCGTTATATTATATTCTTCTTCTTCTTCTTCTTCTTCTTCTCTGTTGCCCTTACCCACCTTACCCATGAAGGGTAGTGGTGCTCCTACGGATGCGGACAACTCGGGCCTCCAGCCCAGCCTCACGCAAACTGTGAATGTTTTCATTGAAGTGCAGAGGGTTTCATGTTTGGAGAGGCTGCTCGCCAGACATGTCGAAAATGTTCTAAGACCAAGGTTGAAATAGTGGTAATTTCTTTTCTTGTTCTTGTTCTTGTTCTTCTCTGCTGACCTTATGTCCAGCTCTCAACTGCAGTGTACCAGAAATACCAAATGGTATGAGTAATGCTTCACTCGTTCAATATGGCGCTACTGTTCAGTTTACATGTGATCATACATCCTTTCTGTGGGGGAATCCATCAGCTACATGCAACAGTAATGGTACATTGAGCTCAGTGCCGATATGTTATAGTAAGTGTAAAATACTTTCTTTTCCAAGCACTGGAAAACCTGGTGTAAGCGACCTCTTGGTTTAGCGACCATGTGCTCTTCACAACCACTTTTCCATGCACCAACAGTTCTACACAGACGCTGTGGGACCTGGTTCTAAAGACCACCTGGCTTCAATGACCGGTTTTGTTTGCACCATGGGGTGGTCATTTAAACCAGGTTTTACTGCAAAGCTAGCTAATACATGAGCTGTGATCAGATTAAACCAACCAGTTGCTTTTGCCCAAAAGTAGAGCAATCCTGTTTTGTAGAGTTGCGCCGAACTGGTCGTTTTCAAAGAAGAAAGGAGAGGGATCCTTGCTGATTCGAGTGTCTCGTGAAATCCCAATGCGGCTCACCATCAGGTCCAGATCATGTGGCCTTGAGGTTTGGTACTTCGCCTCAAGAAGGCTCCAACATCTAATGCTGTGCGCCCGGTGTGGCACTCTGCTTTTCGTCAGGCGCACAAAAAGAAAGCGTGAAGCGTTTTAAAATTGTGAAGGGGGGAGGCTGTTGGGTGGAGTTGGTATGAAAATGTCCGTTGTTGTAACAAGCGCTGAATTGACGCCGTAAACCCTGAGTGTACCAGCACAGAACGAATGTGTGAGACGATAGCGCATGCCTGGTGTCATGGTGTGCAAGCCCAACGCACTTTTAAGTCATGTGCAAAGCAAAAGGAATTGATTCTGTATGCCTGTGCCTTTCACAAACAGCAGAAACACTGAAATTGACTAAAATTGTTGAAATTGAATATTAATTTTACTGCATGACTGGACTGATGTCATCATGTACTATGGCACTGCTGGTTTACCTGCATTTTAGCTGTTTGGCCGGAATGGATGCTGCTCTGCGGACTTTGGTGAACTTTACCTGCGCTTGTGGTACAGCAGAAAAGGAACATACATACATGTGTGTTTTGTTCCCGCATTTTTCCACTGCTCCATACATTCTTATGGTAGTGAAGTGTGAACTTGAGGCGATTTGAAAAAAAGGACACTGATATGGCGTTGCCTTTTTGTCTCAAACAAAGACGCATTATTGCGACGAACGGGGATAACACTTACAGTCAACATGCGGGCAGTCTCACTCAGCTTCTGATGGGCAGGTGACAGGCACGCACTGCCTTTGAGCGTGATTTGAGACGAGGAGAAGTGGAAAAAGCTATGAAACGACCCGTGCAGCAGCTGTCCAGATCGTACCTTTTGAGCTCTTCCTCCAGCAACGATAGTGGCGAGGAGGATGTGTAACTTGCTTGAATTTTCGACTGAGTTGCTTACTGACATGTAAATAATCATTTATGTAGTGCTTTGTGATCGTGGCTTGCTTCAAATATTCGTAATTCTTTCCTGAGACAAGTGTAAAGATAAGCGCCAATTTTAACTGGGCGGACTAAGTACTACTACTACTACTACTACTACTACTACTACTACTACTACTACTACTACTACTACTACTACTACTACTACTACTACTACTACTACTACTACTACTACTACTACTACTACTACTACTACTACTACTACTACTACTACTACTACTACTACTACTACTACTACTACTACTACTACTACTACTACTACTACTACTACTACTACTACTACTACTACTACTACTACTACTACTACTACTACTACTACTACTACTACTACTACTACTACTACTACTACTACTACTACTACTACTACTACTACTACTACTACTACTACTACTACTACTACTACTACTACTACTACTACTACTACTACTACTACTACTACTACTACTACTACTACTACTACTACTACTACTACTACTACTACTACTACTACTACTACTACTACTACTACTACTACTACTACTACTACTACTACTACTACTACTACTACTACTACTACTACTACTACTACTACTACTACTACTACTACTACTACTACTACTACTACTACTACTAGTCACATCCTTTATTGCTGAACCCACAAATAATTGTGATACAAATTGTAAACCATCCGAGGAAGGAGAGAAAGCCATTAAAAATAAAAAATAAAACAAAAAAGGTTATTGTACCATGCCAAACGGCTATTATTAAGTCATGGACCAATTGTAATACATGACGTAGTATAGTAGTCAAGCACCTACAAAATACTTTGCAGGATAATATTTAAATTGCCTAGCATGCCTACAAATCCGCAGAGCATGCCAATGTTAAATAGGCCAACATATGAATACCGAAGGCGGTTACATGGACAGAAGGCGACATTGGTCGAGAAAAGATGGGCCTATTCTCTTCCTCAAGTAAGACGCTCTGCAACCACGGAGGCACGTGATTGACCACCTCAGCAAAACAAATGCAATTTTGCAGCGTAGCTGTGCCATCACAACAGCGTACTGGAGGTCACTATGCTTACTACTACTACTACTACTACTACTACTACTACTACTACTACTACTACTACTACTACTACTACTACTACTACTACTACTACTACTACTACTACTACTACTACTACTACTACTACTACTACTACTACTACTACTACTACTACTACTACTACTACTACTACTACTACTACTACTACTACTACTACTACTACTACTACTACTACTACTACTACTACTACTACTACTACTACTACTACTACTACTACTACTACTACTACTACTACTACTACTACTACTACTACTACTACTACTACTACTACTACTACTACTACTACTACTACTACTACTACTACTACTACTACTACTACTACTACTACTACTACTACTACTACTACTACTACTACTACTACTACTACTACTACTACTACTACTACTACTACTACTACTACTACTACTACTACTACTACTACTACTACTACTACTACTACTACTACTACTACTACTACTACTACTACTACTACTACTACTACTACTACTACTACTACTACTACTACTACTACTACTACTACTACTACTACTACTACTACTACTACTACTACTACTACTACTACTACTACTACTACTACTACTACTACTACTACTACTACTACTACTACTACTACTACTACTACTACTACTACTACTACTACTACTACTACTACTACTACTACTACTACTACTACTACTACTACTACTACTACTACTACTACTACTACTACTACTACTACTACTACTACTACTACTACTACTACTACTACTACTACTACTACTACTACTACTACTACTACTACTACTACTACTACTACTACTACTACTACTACTACTACTACTACTACTACTACTACTACTACTACTACTACTACTACTACTACTACTACTACTACTACTACTACTACTACTACTACTACTACTACTACTACTACTACTACTACTACTACTACTACTACTACTACTACTACTACTACTACTACTACTACTACTACTACTACTACTACTACTACTACTCCTGCTGCTGCTGCTGCTGCTGCTGCTGCTGCTGCTGCTGCTGCTGCTGCTGCTGCTGCTGCTGCTGCTGCTGCTGCTGCTGCTGCTGCTGCTGCTGCTGCTGCTGCTGCTGCTGCTGCTGCTGCTGCTGCTGCTGCTGCTGCTGCTGCTGCTGCTGCTGCTGCTGCTGCTGCTGCTGCTGCTGCTGCTGCTGCTGCTGCTGCTGCTGCTGCTGCTGCTGCTGCTGCTGCTGCTGCTGCTGCTGCTGCTGCTGCTGCTGCTGCTGCTGCTGCTGCTGCTGCTGCTGCTGCTGCTGCTGCTGCTGCTGCTGCTGCTGCTGCTGCTGCTGCTGCTGCTGCTGCTGCTGCTGCTGCTGCTGCTGCTGCTGCTGCTGCTGCTGCTGCTGCTGCTGCTGCTGCTGCTGCTGCTGCTGCTGCTGCTGCTGCTGCTGCTGCTGCTGCTGCTGCTGCTGCTGCTGCTGCTGCTGCTGCTGCTGCTGCTGCTGCTGCTGCTGCTGCTGCTGCTGCTGCTGCTGCTGCTGCTGCTGCTGCTGCTGCTGCTGCTGCTGCTGCTGCTGCTGCTGCTGCTGCTGCTGCTGCTGCTGCTGCTGCTGCTGCTGCTGCTGCTGCTGCTGCTGCTGCTGCTGCTGCTGCTGCTGCTGCTGCTGCTGCTGCTGCTGCTGCTGCTGCTGCTGCTGCTGCTGCTGCTGCTGCTGCTGCTGCTGCTGCTGCTGCTGCTGCTGCTGCTGCTGCTGCTGCTGCTGCTGCTGCTGCTGCTGCTGCTGCTGCTGCTGCTGCTGCTGCTGCTGCTGCTGCTGCTGCTGCTGCTGCTGCTGCTGCTGCTGCTGCTGCTGCTGCTGCTGCTGCTGCTGCTGCTGCTGCTGCTGCTGCTGCTGCTGCTGCTGCTGCTGCTGCTGCTGCTGCTGCTGCTGCTGCTGCTGCTGCTGCTGCTGCTGCTGCTGCTGCTGCTGCTGCTGCTGCTGCTGCTGCTGCTGCTGCTGCTGCTGCTGCTGCTGCTGCTGCTGCTGCTGCTGCTGCTGCTGCTGCTGCTGCTGCTGCTGCTGCTGCTGCTGCTGCTGCTGCTGCTGCTGCTGCTGCTGCTGCTGCTGCTGCTGCTGCTGCTGCTGCTGCTGCTGCTGCTGCTGCTGCTGCTGCTGCTGCTGCTGCTGCTGCTGCTGCTGCTGCTGCTGCTGCTGCTGCTGCTGCTGCTGCTGCTGCTGCTGCTGCTGCTGCTGCTGCTGCTGCTGCTGCTGCTGCTGCTGCTGCTGCTGCTGCTGCTGCTGCTGCTGCTGCTGCTGCTGCTGCTGCTGCTGCTGCTGCTGCTGCTGCTGCTGCTGCTGCTGCTGCTGCTGCTGCTGCTGCTGCTGCTGCTGCTGCTGCTGCTGCTGCTGCTGCTGCTGCTGCTGCTGCTGCTGCTGCTGCTGCTGCTGCTGCTGCTGCTGCTGCTGCTGCTGCTGCTGCTGCTGCTGCTGCTGCTGCTGCTGCTGCTGCTGCTGCTGCTGCTGCTGCTGCTGCTGCTGCTGCTGCTGCTGCTGCTGCTGCTGCTGCTGCTGCTGCTGCTGCTGCTGCTGCTGCTGCTGCTGCTGCTGCTGCTGCTGCTGC